CTCAGACCCACCGGAACCCCCCCCCTTTTTTGCCCGCCGCTTGCTGCGCTATGCTGGACCTAGAGTTTGGCATGGGTTCCCTTGACTCAGTCCTCGAACTGATGACAGGAAGAGTTTATATCTCACATCGATGAGATATATAACTGGTTTTGGTTCTTGTTTCCTCTGAGAAACGAGAATTTGTTTGAGATCCTACTCTTGTTGTGTGGCAGAGGTGCTGCCGAAATTTTTACTGCACACAACAAGCGTTGGAAGAGAAGGTGAACAGGCGGTGGGTCTGAAGCCTATTCGATGGAGGAGATCATCAAGAAGTTGAACCCCGCGGAGGTATCAACTTTGATGAAGCTAATGAAGTTGTCGGCTGGTGAGAGTGCGACAAAACCATCGAAGAAGTTGGAGCTTCCGACCATCGATCTGAAGCTTGATGGACCGAATACGTACCTGAGCTGGTCGCGACGGGTGAGATACATCCTTGCAGGGAGGAATCTGGAGGGTTATCTGACAGGAGAGGTGACAGAGCCGGAGGAGGACTCGGAGGGAAGAGATGAGTGGAAGTCCACTCATATGTTGGTGTACATATGGCTTCTCAATTCATTGGTCCCGACGATCGCAGCCACAGTGGATGGCATTGAGAAGGTGAAGGACGTCTGGGAGAAGTTGAGGAGGACATATGACGGAGTCGGGAATAACCTGAGGGTATTCCAGATTAAAGGGGAGGTCGACGCCACAGTCCAGGGAGAGAGGACTGTACAGGAATATGCTACAGAATTGGAGCGTCTGTGGCTGGGTTATGATCATTTTTCCCCTCGGGCTAGCTGCAAGGACCCGGGGTGTAAAGAACGGGAGGCCTTTCTACAGGAGAGGACTATGGTGTTTCTCAAGGGATTGACATCAGAGTTCGCTCAGCGAATCGCATTGCTACTAGCTCAGCCGAAGATTCCCACACTTGAGGAGGCTGTCTCTGCTATGATCCAGGAGGAGACTCGCATTCGGCTGCAGGCAGGGACAGGTGGACTTCCTGTGGTGAAGTCAGCAATGGCAGCCTCTAGCAACACTGGATCTAGGGGAGAGACTCGACAGTGCTACAACTGCGGCACGGTGGGTCATCTAAGGCATGCTTGCACCAAGCCACCCAAGGAAGGAGATTCGGGTGGACGTGTACAGTTCGGAGGTCGTGGTCGTGGCCGTGGGGGTCGACGAGGTGAAAGAGGAGCAGGGAATCGGGCGAATATGATGGTAGCAGAGGAAGGGGAAGCAACTGAGATGGTCTTTACTGAGGAGGACCATATGCTCCTGGAGATTCTTCGAAGGAAGCAGAGAGTAGCAGGAGATGGAGACAGAAGAAGTGGAACTGAGGAGACATCCAAAGGCAACTCTGCTACTTATGCTCATCCGATCAAATGTACGGATGACATACATGCTCTTGCTTCTATGTCTCCCAATAGACCATCAGAATGGATTGTCGACTCCGGTGCATCTCGACATGTGACGGGCAACGCTAGTGAGTTCTCGTCATACACTCACCTAGCATCAGCAGATAGCATCCAAACAGCTGATGGTACATTTCAGCCTGTGGTTGGTAAGGGTACTGTTAATTGTACAGGTTCTGTAACTCTGTCCAATGTTTTGCATGCTCCTTCCTTTCCAGTAAATCTTTTGTCCATTAGTGCTATTATCCTCCAACTAAAATGTATCGTTTCTTTTGATATTCCCAAGGTGATCTTCCAGGAGAAAGGGACAGGACGGAGACTTGGGACTGGCACGTGGAGTAATGGACTGTGGTACTTGGATCGTGAGGGGCTGGACTCAGCTTTGGTGTCAATGGTAGAGAAAGCAGGAGTAGGATCTGAAATGAGTGCCGAGAGTGAATTGATGCTTCATCACCAGCGCTTGGGACACTCATCCTTTGGTACTTTAAGTAGATTGTATCCATCTTTATTTGAGAAAGCAAATAAAGAGAAACTTGTGTGTGATGCATGTAAGTTGGGAAAGCTTACTAGAAGCTCTTATGTTAGTTCTGATCATAGGAGTTCTCATGCATTTGATCTGATACATTCAGATGTTTGGGGGCCTTGTTCCACAAGTTCTATGAACGGATACAAGTATTTTGTTACATTCATTGATTGCTTCTCTCGCGTTACTTGGTTATACCTGATGAAGAATAAGAGTGAAGTGTTTGGCTGCTTTCAAAACTTTCATAGGAATGTTCAGACCCAATATGGAGCAGTGGTGAAGGTATTGAGATCTGATAATGGGACAGAGTACACCAACAGAGTGTTTGGAGAATACTTGTCATCTCAGGGAATACAACACCAGACTACGTGTCCATACACACCAGCTCAGAATGGGGTAGCAGAAAGGAAGAACAGACATCTCTTAGAGGTTGCTAGAAGTATGATGATCTCCATGAATGTCCCAGAAACATTGTGGGGGCAAGCAGTGTTGACTGCAGTGGCGCTGATCAACAGAATGCCCTCGAGAGTACTGGATTGGAAGTCTCCGTGTGAGACATTGAAAGGAGATAATGGTGGGATTCTTCCACTGAAGGTATTTGGCTGTGTGTGTTTTGTGAAGGATAACAGACCATCCGTCGGGAAGCTTGCCCCTAGAGCGGTGAAGTGTATTTTTGTGGGATATTCTGCTACTCAAAAGGGATATGTTTGCTGGAGCCCGGTGGAGAAAAGGCTGTTCGTAAGTATGGATGTGTACTTTCGTGAATTTGAGCCATATTACACACAGAAGGTACCATCATCCGTTGGTGACTCGCCTAATACTGGAAGTATGAGGCGAGAAGGGGAGAATGGTGAGAGGCAGATGAATAATGTAGAGAATAATGTGGAGAAATCGATTTCTCTAACGATTCCTTGGGAAGGAGAATTGGTTGAGGAGGAGCAGGAGAATAAAGAAGAAGAGGATAAGGAGACAAGAGTTGTTAGGCCCACGGCTCAGGGAGAGCTACTTACCTATAGTAGGAAGGGGAAGCAAATTACGGAAACAGTACCTACAGTGCCACTAGTGCCAGGTCCCTTATCAACGCCTGTCCCGACTCCTGAGACACCTACACCACCATCAGATTCCTCCCAAGGTGATATCAATCCTCTCATTACTCCTCCCACACCAATGTCAGTACGGAGGACTACTCGCAGCAATGCGGGACATCCTCCCGATAGATATGGTTGGGATCTTGCTCAGTTTGTATCATATTCTAACATCCACCCTACATATGGAGCATTCATTGCATCATTGGACTCTGTTACTGTACCTAACAATTGGCAGGTTGGTAAGAAGGACCCAAAGTGGAAAGCAGCTATGCATGAGGAGCTAGGAGCTCTTGAGAAGAACCGCACTTGGGAGTTAGTAAAATTACCAGAAGGAAAAAGAGCAGTTGGGTGCAAGTGGGTCTTCACTGTGAAGCAGAATCCAGATGGACAAGTTGAGCGCTACAAGGCTCGTCTGGTGGCAAAAGGGTATAGTCAGACATATGGCATCGATTATGATGAGACTTTTGCACCGGTGGCGAAGATGAGCACTGTTCGGACCTTAATCTCTCTGGCAGTAAATGGTGAATGGAAGTTACACCAACTAGATGTGAAGAATGCATTTCTTCATGGAGATCTAGTGGAGGAGGTATACATGGAGATACCACCAGGATTCGGTACAGATCAGACAGTGGGAAAGGTCTGTAGATTGAAGAAGTCTCTCTATGGGCTGAAGCAGTCTCCCCGTGCTTGGTTTGACAGATTCAGAAGGGCTATGATTGGTATGGGATACCAACAGATCAACGCCGACCATACAGTGTTCTTTCGACGGAGTGGAGGCCACATTACTATGCTTGCGGTATATGTGGATGATATGATTATTACAGGGGATGATGAGAAGGAGATTGCCCAACTCAAAGTAAGACTGGGTAAGGAATTCGAGGTGAAAGATCTTGGCTTGCTTCGATACTTTCTTGGAATAGAGATAGCTCGAGGAGCGGAAGGGATCATCCTATCCCAGAGAAAGTATGCACTGGATCTTCTCAAAGAGACAGGGATGTTAGGGTGCAAACCTGCAACTACACCGATCGACCAGAAGTTCAAACTAGGTGCTGAGGCCGGAGAACCAGTTGATCGTGACAGATACCAGAGGCTGGTGGGAAGATTGATCTATTTGAGTCACAGTAACTTGGTCTCGTGGAAGAGCAAGAAGCAATCGGTGGTAGCGAGGTCAACAGCTGAAGCAGAGTATAGAGCTATGGCCTTGGGAGTCGCGGAATTGTTGTGGTTGAAGAGTATGTTGGTGGAGCTGGAACTGGATCAAGGAGCAAAGATGAAGCTGTGGTGTGATAACAAGTCAGCCATCAGTATCGCTAATAACCCGGTGCAGCATGATAGAACCAAACACATCGAGATCGATAGGTTCTTCATCAAAGAGAAGTTGGACAATGGACTACTGGAGTTAAGTCATGTTCCAACTAAGGATCAGGCAGCAGATTGTCTGACTAAGGGACTTAGCTCAGTAGATATGATTAGAGGATGTGACAAGATGGGCTTAGTGGATATCTTTCGCCCATCTTGAGGAGGAGTGTTGACATATTAGTAATAGATAGGGTGTTATTTGTAAGTTGTGTAGTAAGGGCCGTTGTGTAGTAAGGGCCTATATAAACCCATCTTATGGAGTAATAAAGTTAGGGTTTTCTCTCTATTTTCAATAAGATTCCTAAACAAAAACATGCATAAGAAAATCTTGTTGATGTATATACTGTCTTACTCATAAATGTACATATTGGGGGAATGATTCAGCAAGTTGAATATATCAAGCTTACCCACATTATTTGCATAAAAATATGAAGGTATTTATCAAGAAAGGATTGTTTGAGCTAACGCAGAACGTTTGTTTCTTGTAATCAGAAAGAATCATAAGTTACAGGCTACAAATATGTGAGACAAACTATTATATAATATAGTCAAGTATTGACTTTACAAAATTTAAATACGTTGTCATCTAAAAAAAATTTATTGTCAAGTATTGGCATGGCTAATTCAGACATAAATATATCGCGGGAATAATTCAGCAAGTTGAGCTGTCTACCAACCATTTTCAACATTACTTGCATTAAAAAAAACACACACATGGATTGATAAGTAAATGACTGTTTGAGCTAATGAATTGTATCTTGTTCCTCGCAACACAAAGAACCATAAGCTTACAGGCTATAAATACGCGACTCTGACAAGCTATGTATAATCTGCCTTCAAACACCAGAAAGGAGAAGGCAAAAGTATTCATCAGAAGAAGGATAAGGAGATGGCTCGCAGCACATACCTCATTCTTTCCCTGTTCATACTTTCGAGCTTCATCATCCCACTGGTGAACGGAAGCGAAAACGGAGAACTCGCTCACCTAATTCATGAAGGTAAGCATTGTCACCAATTCAAAACGTCGTTGAGCTAATTATTTTGTAAGGGAAAACATTTCCAAAATGAGACAAAGAAGCAGCAAAATTTTATTACTTATAATACAATTTGTCTTATGACTAAAGCTGCATATAATTGACACTCAGGCTTTCTGAAATCCTTGCAGGGGCTCTCACAGAAGATGGGCTTGCATATCCAGAAAACTCGAGGAAACTGCGTGGAGGCTACCTTGCAGGGGCTCTCACAGAAGATGGGCTTGCATATCCAGAAAACTCGAGGAAACTGCGTGGAGGCTATGTCCGCAGGAGAAGATGTAATCCTTATCTTGAATACTGTTAGAAGTGTTCAAAAAAAAAAAAAAAGCCTGTGGACAGGATTACGATGGATCTACATGAATTTGTAATAAGTTCTTGCTACTGTACGTTCCTCATGTGCTCAGTGTCATTTGCATCTGTTTGTTAATAAAAACATCTCGCTCTAGAAGCAAGATTGAAGCCAAATTATCTTCTGTTGGAATCTACCTTCTAATTTATATGAAATTTCTGTTTCCCATGGGATCCATTCGATTCTATGGTCTCATACCATGATCCAGTCTGTACGTAAAAATTTGTGTGTGCGTAAGTTTTCTTCAAGCGGGACAATTTTTTGTCATCAATTTCCAATCTGGTTCGCCTAATAGCAATCCAATAATTCACAGAGTCTTTTGCTGTAT